AAAGGCTTCCAATGTAGCTCTCTCCATGACATACCGGTTTACTATTTGATGTCTACTGACTGGGTCCCCCCCCCAAAAAAAATGACCCCTGAATTTTTGAATTTTATTGATATTGATGCTGCATTTTATGTTGTATTTTATGCTGTTTTAAAGTCGCATTTTAATCAGTGCTTTATATTTGCTGTTAGCCGCCCTGAGCCCAGTTTTTAAACCAGGAAGGGCGGGGTATAAATAAAAAATTATTATTATTATTATTATCATCATCATCATCATCATCTGCAGGATATTTGATGTTGTTTATTTTATTTTTATTTCTTTTCAAATATTGCTTTGCCATCTTGCAGGGGGCGACCTGCCTACAAGGCAACAGCACCCTTAGATAAATGAAACGGAGAAAACAAAATATTTCATTCAGGTGAAACTAGAACGCACTAAAACAGCAGTCTGAAGACATTTCACAGCCCAGCACAAACAATTTAAACAATTAAGGAGTGTAGGGGGGGGAGGGCATTTTAAACCAGCAGCAGCAATTTAATAAACCATTAAATAATCAGAAGCTCGCCAGCTTGAAATTAATGGGTTTTCAAAAGCCTGTTTAAAAACCAATACAGATGTCCAAATGTATATACTTGGGGGGGGGAGATCTCCCCACTGTCTCTGGCACATGCCAGTCTAATTAGAGAGAAGAGCATTCGTTTACATGGGCACCCATTGGCATTCTGAAGGGAAGCAGCACAGACATATATCCACAACCTCAATGAGAACTAGACCCATGACAGTAGCTTTTGCTTAAGATGGACAGCCACCTTGCAGCAATTTCTGTGGTGTTTTCTTTTCTTTGGGGTCTACACAAGCTGGGAAGCTGCTGCCGTTCAGAGCCAGAAGATAAGGAGATGTCACCTAATTAGGGCTGGGCTGGAGGGACGGATTCAGCTTGGTTCATATTTAAAGGCGGATCTTATCCAATTTGCATTTTCTAAAACATGTTGCAAACTAAAACACAACCATCTCTTGATTAGGGCTGAGCCAAAACAGTCATCTTAATTTTTTTGCCCATGGTTCTTGTCCGTTCTTCTCTTCGGCCATGGTGGGGGGAAAACTGCAGTTAAATCAATATCTGCTTTTTGCTCTGGACATTCAGCCACTCTCGTGGTGAGAATCCCCGGATCCTGAGCTGAAATGATACATGGCTTCATGCTTCATTTGCCAGGGATCCTGAGCCACAATGAGCCCTTCTCTATAATTGCAGGATGTGCTTCAAATTTAAGAGTGTGGCAGTTTGGGTTTAAAGGGCTACGATCAGGACCTATCAGAATCTTAGTATAAGGACCCAGTTCCCAAACCCGTTTCTCTTATGCTGTTTTCTACATTGTGTTTCTAGTCACAATGTAGAACAGAGTCCCTTTAGTAAGTAATGCATCTAATTAAAAAAAAATCTATTTAATTTTATTTTTAAAAATATTCTAATTAAAAAAATTTCACGTATACACTCTAGTACATAATTAAGTTTTTTTGTTTTGTCGACTTCACATCCCGCTTTCCATGGTGATTTTGTTCTCTCCCCCTTTGCTGTTGTTTGTCTCTTATGTCATAACAATATTACAGTATTACTAGGCCCTCCAGATGTTTTGAGACTACAACTCCCATCATCCCTGACCACTGGTCCTGTTAGCTAAGGATGATGGGAGTTGTAGTCCCAAAACACATGGAGGGCCGAGTTTGCCTATGCCTGGTTTAACCCCACCACTTTCCCCAGTAAAACCTGATCTCTACTGCTGAATCAGAGTAAATGTCAATTCAGGTTTTTGCGGGGAAAGTGGCAGGGAAGCTCAAACCTAGCTAGGGATGATGGGAGTTGTAGTCCCAAAACATCTGGAGCAGGCTTCCTCAACCTCGGCCCTACGACTCCCATCATCCCTAGCTAGCAGGACCAGTGGTCAGGGATGATGGGAATTGTAGTCTCAAAACATCTGGAGGGCCGAGGCTGAGGAAGCCTGATCTGAAGGGCCGAGTTTGCCTATGCCTGTCCTAGAACCAGAAATATTTCCTTGCTGGCCACCGTAAACAGCAGGAGGGGTCTAGGAGCTAGGAAGTAACTGCCAGGGGGGAGAAGCGGACACTTGGAGCAACAGCTCAAGAAAGGGGGAGTACATTCCATGTCTCTGTTGTTGTTTGAAATAATTTTTAATTGGCTTTTATATATACAGAGTAATAACAAAATTCTTTATAAAATCAATCCATGAGATTTTCTGAATCTCGTGACTTCCCCCCCCCTTAACATGGATCCTAGTAACAATTTTTTTACCAGTCTACATATCAATATATTCTCCATAATTCTCATTACTATAAGTTATGCATAAACCTCGTCGCTTTACAAGTGATTCTTAAGTCCAGCTAACGTTTTAATTTGCTTACAATGTTCTCTTAGGTAGATTATTAGTTTTCCCCATTCTTTTTTAAGGTCCTTATCTTCTTGATTCCTGAGTCTAGTCTCCCGGTTGATTTTGCCATCTCAGCATAGTCCAGCATGTTGATTTAAATAAAAGAACTGAAAGACGCTCTCTGCGTCTCAAATCTCACCGGGCAGTTAGCCCAGTGAGCTGTTGAACGGCACCCTCATGACAGATATATGATACAATAACAATCCATTTATTCTTGCGTAACCCACATATAAACCAAGATACTATTCTTGCAATGTTAACACGAATGGTGGTGGTCCTAAGAACCGTTTCTGCTTCTTTCCGTTCTGTTAGGTCCGCCTGGAGTGGCCTACGGACCTGGCGGTCAACCCGATGGACAATTCTCTGTACGTCCTCGACAACAACGTGGTACTGCAGATTTCCGAAAACCACCAAGTGCGCATCCTGGCAGGGAGGCCGATGCATTGTCAGGTTCCAGGCATCGACCACTTCCTTCTCAGTAAGGTGGCCATCCATGCTACTTTGGAATCGGCCACAGCTCTGGCCGTTTCTCACAGCGGCGTCCTGTACATCACGGAGACGGACGAGAAGAAGATCAACCGCATCAGGCAGGTCACCACCAACGGGGAAATCTCTCTGGTGGCCGGCGCCCCGAGCGGCTGCGACTGCAAAAACGACGTCAGCTGCGATTGCTTTTCCGGCGACGACGGCTACGCAAAGGACGCCAAGCTCAACGCCCCTTCCTCCCTGGCGGTGTGCGCGGACGGGGAGCTGTACGTGGCTGACCTCGGGAACATCCGGATCCGTTTCATCCGGAAGAACAAGCCGTTCCTCAACACGCAGAACTTGTACGAGTTGTCCTCGCCCATCGACCAAGAGCTCTACTTGTTTGACACCAGCGGCAAACACCTTTTCACCCAGAGCCTCCCCACCGGAGATTACCTCTACAACTTCACCTACACCGGAGACGGGGACATCACCCTGATCACCGACAACAATGGAAACCTGGTCAACATCCGGAGGGATTCCACCGGGATGCCGCTCTGGCTGGTGGTACCGGACGGGCAGGTCTACTGGCTGACCATTGGCACCAACAGCGCCCTGAAGAGCGTGACAGCCCAGGGGCACGAGGTGGCCATGATGACCTATCACGGCATTTCGGGCCTCCTTGCCACCAAGAGCAATGAAAACGGGTGGACGACGTTCTATGAGTGAGTATTTTGTTGGGCGTAACAGAATCCCGGATCGTGTTAAGAATTTTGCCATCATTTATTGCACGAACCAAAGGCCATGGCGTCATCCAACAGTCGCCACACGTACAGTAAAACCATGACCAACATTAAGGAGATAGGAAGAGCTTCTCTGAATCAGACCAAAGGCCTGTGTAGTCCAGTGGCCAAGCAGATACTCTTGAGAAACCCACAAAACACTATGAACATAATAGGCCTCTTCCATTGTTGCCATCCCACAGCAATAAACAGGGGCACATTGTCTTTTTGGGATGTGAAAGTTCCAGATAGCTACCAAAGCTTTAATAATAATGATGGTGATGATGATGAATTTCATTTATAACAAGATAGAGTAAGAAAAAAGTGAGCGAGAATGAAAAAAATACCACTACATTACCATACATTAATATACAGATGTGCATATTCTTATTATCCTAAAACATATATACACTCGTACCTTGGAACCGAACGCCTTGGCTCCCAAACAAATCGGTTCCCAAATGATCGAAAGCCGGAAGTGAGTGTTGCAGTTTTCGAACCATTTCCGGAAGCCAGATATCCGGCGCAGCTTCCAACTGGCTGCAGGACGCTCCTGCAGCCAATCAGAAGCCACCCTTTGGTTTTCAAATGGTTCTGGGTGTTTGAACGGACTCCCGGAATGCATTCGGTTCGAGAACCAAGGTACGACTGTAATTGTCAGTAGCCTGATATATTATCAATTATCATTGTATTCATCCAAATAAAGTCTGCTCAGGTGGCTATCAAAGCTAATGGCTGCTGTTAGACCACCTCTTCGTCCTTGATGAATTTGCCCTCTAATCCCCTTCTGAAGCCATCAAGTCCAGTGACCGTCACCATATCTTCCAGCAGTGAATCATAGAATCATAGAATCATAGAATCATAGAGTTGGAATAGACCACAAGGGCCATCGAGTCCAACCCCCTGCCAAGCAGGAAACACCATCAGAGCACTCCTGACATATGGTTGTCAAGCCTCTGCTTAAAGACCTCCAAAGAAGGAGACTCTACCACACTCCTTGGCAGCAAATTCCACTGTCAAACAGCTCTTACTGTCAGGAAGTTCTTCCTAATGTTTAGGTGGAATCTTCTTTCTTGTAGTTTGGATCCATTGCTCCGTGTCCGCTTCTCTGGAGCAGCAGAAAACAACCTTTCTCCCTCCTCTATGTGACATCCTTTTATATATTTGAACATGGCTATCATATCACCCCTTAACCTCCTCTTCTCCAGGCTAAACATGCCCAGCTCCCTTAGCCGTTCCTCATAAGGCATCATTTCCAGGCCTTTGACCATTTTGGTTGCCCTCCTCTGGACACGTTCCAGTTTGTCAGTGTCCTTCTTGAACTGTGGTGCCCAGAACTGGACACAGTACTCCAGGTGAGGTCTGGAGTACTGTGTCCAGTTCTGGGCACCACAGTTCAAGAAGGAATTCCCATGAACAAATTACGGAATTAATTTTGCCCCCTGGAACTTACTTCAGGGCGTGGAGTTCTCCCCCCAACTCCTCCCCTTGCTGAAACCAGCACAGACGCACCACCTTTTCTGGAGGATCAAGGGGGGCGGACTTTGCGCAGGGTGCCCTCTGAACATTGGGGGCCCAGCCCCCTAAAATATATACCGTATTTTTTGCTCTATAAGACTCACTTTTTCCCTCCTAAAAAGTAAGGGGAAATGTGTGTGCATCTTATGGAGCGACTGCAGGCTGCGCAGCTATCCCAGAAGCCAGAACAGCAAGAGGGATTGCTGCTTTCACTGCGCAGTGATCCCTCTTGTTGTTCTGGCTTCTGAGATTCAGAATATTTTTTTTCTTGTTTTCCTCCTCCCAAAGTCTTATGGTCTGGTGCGTCTTATAGAGCGAAAAATACGGTATATATTGGGGGGGGGGGTCCCACATTGTCTCAGAGCCCAGGAGCCAGTGCCCTTTGTACAGCACAATCTGAGGCCTAATGGAGGCCCCAGCGCAAGCCTGAGAGGTTTGGGACAAGGACAGGGGCAGTAGCAAACCCATGTGAAGCTGTCCTAAACTCCCAAGAAGCCTGGGCTGATCCAACATGCAAGAGGAGATTTGTTCCACTGAAAATTGCATTTTGAACCTCATCCCATTTTCCAAGGCCTGCAGCACTGCTAGTGACTAAAACTTTAGCAGTTGAAATTGGAGGATATGGCCCCTTTTCCCTTTCTCCCAAACCCCCGTGTCTAGAAAAAAAAAAGAAACTGATGCTATTTCTGTTTCCTAGTCACCGAACGTGGCAGTATTTCAAGGTGACTCGTTTCCCACCGATTATTTAGCTGCCAAAGGTTGCCGAAAGCAGAGGACCTGGGGGGATGGGAGCTTCTGAGCAGGCATTTCTGGAACCAACTGCCTCCTTTCCGCGCCAGTAATGTGACAAATGACGGTGTCGGATGTTCACAAGCAAACAATTAGGTCTCATAAGCACCAGATACTGCATTAATTCTGTGCAGTGAACCGCGGCTAAATGCGTTTCCATTTGGGAATGGATGGCCCTGGTTTCTTTTGTCAGCCTCATAATTGCCACCGTGATTGTAAAGGCTGGGGTAGCTCGGTCGGACAGCGGCAGGTTACACTGGGGGGGTGATGAATTCATTGCCGGCGCCGGCTGCTCGGAGCCTCCCTGCGTCACGGTGTTTGTCCTTAATTCTGGTGCAAGTCAGAGCGTTAAATGAACATGAGAACATTAGGGTGTGATGGAGACCAGCCTAACTTCTGAATCCTTTGGACTGTGGAAACAGGGCCCAGCCAGCTTAGCCGTGGAATGAATGGACTTGCGAGGATTTGTCCCCCTACAGATAATAGTAATAATAATAATAATAATAATAATAATAATAATAATAATGTTGTTGTTCAGTCGTTTAGTCTTGTCCGACTCTTCGTGACCCCATGGACCAGAGCACGCCAGGCACTTCTGTCTTCCACTGCCTCCCGCAGTTTAGTCAAACTCATGCTGGTAGCTTTGAGAACACTGTCCAGCCATCTCGTCCTCTGTCGTCCCCTTCTCCTTGTGCCCTCCATCTTTCCCAACATCAGGGTCTTTTCCAGGGAGTCTTTTCTTCTCATGAGGTGGCCAAAGTATTAGAGTCTCAGCTTCAGAATCTGTCCTTCCAGTGAGCACCCAGGGCTAATTTCCTTAAGAATGGATAGGTTTGATCTTCTTGCAGTCCATGGGACTCTCAAGAGTCTTCTCCAGCACCATAATTCAAATAAAAATTTATTATTTATACCCTGCCCATCTGGCTGGGTTTCCCCAGCCACTCTGGGCGGCTTCCAGCCGAATATTAAAAACAATACAGCGTCAGACATTAAAACTTCCCTAAACAGGGCCACCTTCAGTTGTCTTTTAAAAGTAAAATAGTGGTTCATTGCCTTGACATCTGCTGAGAGGGCGTTCCACAGGGCAGGCACCACCACCGAGAAGGCCCTCTGCCTAGTTCCCTGTAATCTCATTTTCCTAGGCTGCCTTTTCAAACCGAATTATGTGCCTTCACAGAGGTGGAAATGAGCAGAGATCGCAATACGTTGACACCCATGCGTTTTACCCAGTTTTCAGAACAGATGTTTTGGGGGAATGGTGGTGCTTTTGGTTTGTCTGTTTTGATTTTAACGATGCAGTTGCTGAACGGGTCTTCTGGACGCTCTTTTCAGGGGTTTTCTGTAGGCTGCCCCAACTTGCAGCTCCCTTGGGTTTCCTCACTTAACAAAAGGGCACACAGAAAAAAAGATAAATTCGTATCTGAAGAAGTGTGCATGCGCACAAAAGCTCATACCAATGACAAACTCAGTTGGTCTCTAAGGTGCTACTGGAAGAAATTTTTTTATTTTGTTTCGGCTACAGCAGACCAACACAACTACCTACCTGTAACAGAAAAAGGATGTTACAGAAAGGAGAAACTTGGTTCGTTTCTGTTTAGGGGACTCCTGAAGTATGAAGAGGGGTGGTTAGTATAATCAAGCCTGCAGGTTAGCTCAGTTGGTAGAGCACGAGACTTATAATCTCAGGGTTGTGAGTTTGAGCCCCACGTTGGGCAAAAGGATTCCTACATTGTGGGGGGTTGGAGTAGATGGACCTCGTTGTCCCTTCCAATTCTATGATTCTAGGGTATCACACAATCAGACAAATCAGTTATGATAATAATTAATAATAATTTTGTTATTTTTATCCCACCCATCTGACTGGGTTGCCCCAGCCACTTTGGGCGGCTTCCAACATATATAAAAACATATACATAGGTGAAGGTAAAGGGACCCCTGACCATTAGGTCCAGTCGCGGCCGACTCTGGGGTTGCGGCGCTCATCTCACTTTATTGGCCGAGGGAGCTGGCTTACAGCTGCCGGGTCATGTGGCCGCTTCTGGCGAACCAGAGCAGCCTACAGAAACGCCATTTACCTTCCTGCCAGAGTGGTACCTATTTATCTACTTGCACTTTGATGTGCTTTCGAACTGCTAGGTTGGCAGGAGCAGGGACTGAGCAACGGGAGCTCACCCCGTCATGGGGATTCGAACTGCCGACCTTCTGATTGGCAAGTCCTAGGCTCTGTGGTTTAACCCACAGCACCACCCGCGTCCCTTACATATACATAGATATAAGCTATTCGGATTTTAGGTCACAATTAATTATAAAAAAATGTGTAAAAACAGTTCCTTAAAGGCTAGAAATGTCCACACTTACGGACTTGCCTTCATAGAACACGTCTAACTCAGCTCTTTTGATTTCAAGCCATTTTGGCTTTTGCTTCATCTGCCCAGGCCAGCAGCATATTTGAACATCTTGTGCCATTTTTCCATGCTCAACCCTTGAATCAAAACCACTTTTTCGCAAGCTGATAATTTCCCCCCCCCAACTTATTTATTTATTAACGTTCTTATATTACATATGCATACATTGTCATATTACATTATAGGACTTATTATAATATAATTTCCAACATGTATACAAAGTTTATATACAAAATTTATATACCTAAAAAAAGAAAAGACAAAAAAAGACAAAAAGCTATTCCAAAATAATATTTGTAGCAACACTACGGACTTCCTGTCAATCTTGTTGTATATTAATTTTTTTACAAATGAATGTACTCTTATCATTGTATGCTTCTTTACATTTTATCTAATACATTCCTATATCAATATGTACCCTTGATCTTGTTTCTCAACTCAATTTCTCTCCACCGTCAATTGATTGGCAGCATAGATAGCAAACCTTTACTATATTTTTGAACATATATCTTCTATCCCATTTTTCCATAAATTTTTGTTTTGAATCAAAGCAAGCCGAGAATTCTGCAGATTCAAAACTTAACCTGTCGAGCCGTGTGCGAATTGGGGCCCAGGCATGAGAGGAACTCTACTGCAAAGCAGTATGGAGAGCCCTAAGACATCTTTAGGAATAGCAGGGCAAAGCAGGCATAAGAAGAAGGAAGGAAAAGTTGCACAAAGCGTTTGTTAAAAGAAGCATTCCTGTGTGGCCAAGAGGAACAGCAGCAGCAAACTCTGTTCAGAATTTGCGTTCGCACATCCTCCTCGATAGCAGAGCAGATTTTTGTTTCTGGGCAAGAATATTTTACACCTCATCTGCCACTAATTAAAAAATCACAGTCAAAAGAACATCAGTCGCTCCAGCTATTCACCTTCCTCCATAACATGCAACCTTTTAGCAGCTACTGGGGATATACCGTATTTTTTCCGTGTGTAAGACTAGGTTTTTTTCCTAAAAAATAAAGTAAAAAATTAGGGGGAGTCTTATACTCTTGGCCATCTCCCCCCCCCCATTTTCTTAAATCTGAGTCTTATACATGGGGGCGTCTTATAGACGGAAAAATATGGTAAGTGAGGTCATTACCTGGTGAGCAAACAGCAAAGAAGCAAATATGTGCCACTCTCGGAGGCAGGAACTCAAATAAATAAAAATAAAAAAGAGGTTGCTCAGATGGTTTACAGCATCAGTGATACTATTTCTTTTAAAAAAAAAAAGAAGATTTTTCCTTGTACTGCAAGGCTTAGGTCAGATGGCAGCAAGTTAAAACCCAAAGTTTTGAAGGTTCCTGTCTCTATCTCTCTGTCTCTCTCTCTCTCTCCTCCTTCTCTGTTTGCTACTCATGCATCTCCTTCCTTTCCAGGTACGACAGTTTTGGCCGCCTCACCAACATCACTTTCCCTACCGGTCAGGTCAGCAGCTTCCGCAGTGACACGGACAGCTCAGTGCATGTCCAGGTTGAGACCTCCAGCAAGGATGACGTCACCATAACAACCAACCTCTCCGCCTCAGGTGCCTTCTACACCCTCTTGCAAGGTGAGCTTCAGATCTGCTGGACGGGCTTTGGGGTTTTTTTTTGGTTTGGGTTTGTTCTTCTTCAGCCCTGCCCTTCACCTAAAGGTCCCAAGCCAGGTTTCAGCAATAAAGCGTCCTATTATCAACGCTATGGTACACCTGCATCTGCACAACCGGATGCCTTCATGTGCCCCAGCTGCAACAAAACATGTCTCTTCTTCTTCAGTCTCTACAGCCACAGCAGGCGCTGTAACTCTCCAATGGTTTGACTTCACCTCTGAAGGTGCACTCCTCCATAGTCTCTGCAGACCTTCCAAGTGTCCCTGTTTTCCAGGGACAGTCCTGGATTTACAGAAGCCATCCTGGTTTCTGATTTGATCCCGGAATGTCCCGCTTTTCCTTATTTCCCTATTTCCATCAGAGAAATATTGGGGGGTATGGAGCTATCCGACCCCCAAGCCAAGGGGATAAGTAACTATACAACCTTTAGAAGACATCTGAAGGCAGCCCTGTATAGGGAAGGTTTTTTATTTTTAATGTTTTGTTGTGTTTTTTTATATGTTGGAGGCCGCACAGAGTGGCTTGGGCAGCCCAGTCAGATGGATAGGGTATAAATATTAGTAATTATTATTATTATTGAATAAAAAGGTAAAGGACCCCTGACAGTTAAGCCCAGTTGCAGACTACTCTAGGGTTGCTGCGCTCATCTCACTTTACAGGCTGAGGGAGCCAGTGTTTGTCCACAGTCAGTTTTTCCAGGTCATGTGGCCAGCATGACTAAGCCGCTTCTGGCACAACGGAATACTGAAACTAGAGCAGCGCACAGAAACGCCGTTTACCTTCCCGCCGGAGTGGTACCTATTTATCTACTAGCACTTTTTGGCGTGCTTTCGAACTGCTAGGTTGGCAGGAGCTGGGACAGAGCAACAGGAGCTCACCCCATCACAGGGATTCAAACCGCCGACCTTCTGATTGGCAAGCCCCAGAGTCTCAGTGGTTTAGACCACAACGCCACCCACGCCCCTTATTATTGAATAGGCCATCCCTATTTTCGTTGGAGAGGTGTTGGAGGGTATGAGACAGACAGGCGCCACTCATTATAAACAAAAAAAAAAACCAGTTGCAACCAAAAAACAACAACCAAGGAAAGTGTAAAAACAGTTCCACATATAAAACATTTCAAAAGAATTCCGTATACAAAAGCAGTTAAAAATAGTTCGATCAAAGTTCAGGTGTGCCACCTATTGGAAGAGGGAGGTCCCAATAGGTGCTGAAAAGACAACAAAGGCAGCTCCCCTTCAATATGTGATGAGAGGGAATTCCAAGGGGGATGGTGCCACAGACCTCCTGATAAGATGGTTATCAGCAGGAGCCCTTTTGTGCAGAGTGCAGTGATCAATTGGGCAAGGGACCTATTTGTATCTGACTGTGCCCACCCGCAATTCTACTTGCAATTCTACTCGCCAGATTTTAAGCAGGGGTGCTCAGCTAGGAGCACCAAAAGCATGGGTAGGCAAATTAAGGCCCGGGGCCCGGATCCAGCCCAATCACTTTCTAAATCAGTCAGTCCAGGAATCAGCATGTTTTTACATGAGTAGAATGTGTCCTTTTATTTAAAATGCATCTCTGGGTTATTTGTGGGTCCTGCTTGGTGTTATTACATGAGTAGAATACAGTGGTACCTCGGGTTAAGTACTTAATTCGTTCCGGAGGTCTGTTCTTAACCTGAAACTGTTCTTAACCTGAAGCACCACTTTAGCTAATGGGGCCTCCTGCTGCTGCCGCGCCGCCAGAGCCCGATTTCTGTTCTCATCCTGAAGCAAAGTTCTTAACCTGAAGCACTATTACTGGGTTAGCGGAGTCTGTAACCTGAGGCGTATGTAACCTGAGGTACCACTGTATGTGCTTTTATTTGAAATGCATCTCTGGGTTATTTGTGGGGCATAGGAATTCGTTCATTTATATTTTCAAAATATAGTCCAGCCGCCCCCCCCAAGGTCTGAGGGACAGTGGACCGGCCCCCTGCCGAAAAAGTTTGCTGACCCCTGACCAAAAGGAACACGAACCGAATCTGCAGAAGGGAAAGGGAGAATTAAACTGTATGCAATTTTCTAGGGTGTGCCGGTGGAAGCCCCCTACATCTTTCCACCTCCTCCATCCTACAACTATGAGCTTGCTTGAAGGTCTGGTATGAATCCCTTTTCGGGGGCCGGGGTGAGCGTTAATGTAAAGCCGAAACTATTTCTGTAACTTCCCCAGAGTCTCGGAGATAAGTCAGGCCATTAACACAAATTCGTTCAGATAACGAATCGTCATCTCGCTCTGCAGCTATTGGCAAGGGCTGGGAAGGGCTGAGCGGCACAGACTGGATTATGCAGCAGGAAACAGACCTCATCATGGTAATCCCAGCACCATGAGACCCCCATATCCTGGCGCCTTCTAATGCTTTCCTTTGCTGATTGGCGCGCACTCGCACCTAATTAAGGAGCGGAGTCCTTGCCAGGCCTGTCATGGTACTGCAGCTGTTTTCTGTTGGGGGTTCAGCCTGCTTCCTTGCTTGCCAGCTCTTCTCACAAGTCAAGTCTTCCAGTGTCCTTGCTGCTGTTATCATAGCATAGAGATTGTCATCAGGGACAGGGAATGGGGTCAGGACAACTTCATGCAAAACGAACAGCCCAGCTCTGGAAAACCACATTAAATTTATATTCTCATTTATTCTGTGCATAATACAGTGCTAAAAGGTAAATGGACCCCTGAC